ACCTGGCGGGTGACCGCTGCGCGCACGCTGTACGCCCGCCCTCTCTCGAACGATGTTCTCGCTTTCTCCGTCGCGCCGGCATTGGCCCGCTGCAACTGCACCGCATAACCCGGACTATATTAATTAATCGTTCACAGAAATACCACACTCTCCTCCACATCCGGCTGACTATCGCACGCACCTCCTCGAAGGACGCCGGAACGTCAGATGTCGCGCGCCACCGTATTAAGATCATGGCAGTCATCGTCGCGCGCGCGTTCTTGCAAGATATCAAGTCTTTCATCGCACAGACGGTGCGCGATGAGACTAAGAACATCGTAGTGGATCCATCACTGGACGCCTACGACTGGGCAAAGTCTCGCGTCGACACTCACCAACGGTGGGCCAAACTTGCGGACCCTCTCGACTTCGGACCCGGCAACTCTACCTTCTCCGACCTTGTCCACTTGATTGCTCTGACCCAAGACGACATCGCGGACGCTCTGCCACCTTCCACAATCGGTAACTGCTCCATGGAGGCTCTCGTGGACCGCATGTACGCATGGGCAATCTCTGACCGACAGGGTCAACGCGCTCCCTTTTACAAGGCTGGCACTGCAGGTGTCGTCCTCCGGATCATCATCACGGAACTTGCGAACTACCTTCGCTCCTACACGGAGGTGGAGAGAGCCACTGAGTTCAAAGCCGCCCTAGTCGCCGCCCTCGTCGCCCTTCACATCCACTTCATCCCTGACGCGCGCCGCGTCGGCAATGGTTCCCCAACCCATCAGCCCGATCCCCGTGGTTGGACCGGTCTTGGCGCTTCTCCCCGCCCTCGCTCGCTCAATCCTGCCCTCGCTCGTACCCATTCAGAGAGGATCACCCTACAGATCAACCAATCTTCGCAACAGCTCCTTGACAACGACATCCGCGGCAAATGGTCAGCTTGCGAAACCTCTATCGAGGAGCTTCGCGTTTTCTCCTCCCGCCTGATCCTTCCTGAGGAGTTCGAGAAAGGCATAGTCCAGGCGCGGAGAGCCGTCACTGGTTACGTCCTGGAGGTCTACAACTGGGCGTTCCAACGTCTCATGGACGACCTCCAACATTGGGACTGTCAGCTGGCTCTCACCCTCGCGATCATGCTCTCCAAGCAGCTTCCAGCCATTTCCTACCCCAAATCTGCCCCTGCGGACCTTCTAGACGCTATTGCGGCCCAGTCCATCACCAATCAGGAGGCTTGCATTCTTGCCATTCGTCGCACACCGTGGGTCGTGCGGACTACGAACCGTGGCCTGAAGGACGTCCCCCTCTATATCACACAAGCCACTCTATTCCTGCTCGCCTGGATCAATGACAAGTCCCCCCTGCGGCTCCGTCTTGATGCAGGGACGGAAATCGGTGAATGGACCAGCAAGCATTGTACGATCCTTTGTCCCTCTCTATTGGCATGCATTCATTCATTAACACACCCGGTTGTCCATTCTTGCAGCAACGAAGGGGCTAAGCCATATGAATCTCATCCGCCTCGGCATTGCCTATGGGAACTCGAAGCGCCTTTTCACGTCGCCTAGGTATAATACAGACTACATGATCCTCCCGACTCCATCCCTTAAGGCTTGGGCGAAGCGTGTTAAGGCTGGTGTCGCTGATCCCAAGGATGGTGCTTTCAACCTCACAGTGCGCATTTTTGGTAATGCCACGGCACTGAAACTTCGGGACAGCGGTAACTTCTCCTCTCTGGGCATCAACCGTGTTCAAGGCCTTCAGAAGGCCACAAGTGACACGGCGCCCGTTGCATCCTCTTCCCGTCGTAACTTAGATGTCCTTTCTGATTCCGAGTCACCCCCCCACAACCGTCGTCGCATAAATTAGTTGTCAATGTACATGTCAGAATCGCTGCTCGACTCATTCTCGTTTGCTACCTTACTCTATCTTACTTCCTACGTTCTGTTACAGTCGTTTGCATAATAAACTGCAGTGTCGTGCGCCGCGAGAGCCTATTTGTTCCGAACAAACAAAGCCCGATATAGTAGCTGGGGGCGCTTGATCAGCAGAACATCGCCCGACCACGATAACACCATTGCATCTTCCCTCCTCCACAGAGGCCATAACTTTATAGGACTATAAAGACTAACATTTGAAGAATTTTCGCCAGTTCCGAGGGAGGTCAAGATGTACCCGAAGAGCGATTTAGCCCTACGAGATAAGACCGCTCCTGGCCATATCTTGATCTAGACTCATTCTGGGGAGAGGTCTCACAGAGCAGGGTTGGAATTTCGCTCCAATATTTCAGGAGCATGTACATATCATATAGGAGAGGCCCTGTGCAGAATATTAGCAAAATCGGCGGACCGGTTTTGGAGCTACAGCCCTGGGAAGCGGCTGCACCTATATTGGTGCATTGCTGCATATTCCCTTGGATTGGGGCTTTGAAAACTCGTTGAGGGGTAGCAATACACTATATTGAGGTATGTACAAAGTTTCAGAACAGTCGGATCAGAAATGGGCGCTTGGCAGGGGGGAAAAGTGCGCAGATGAGGAGGAGCATAACTTCCCAATGTTCTTTGAGGGCATATGTTCGGAATTGAGTATATACAATCTATCCAGCA